GGTGCATCCAGGAGCCTTTACCACTTACAGGGACTCTCCTCCCAGCCTGTGGCATCGGGACGAAGGCTGAAGCCCTGAGTACTCCTGCAGCGGGGTCTCTGCAAGCGAAGAGAAGGGCCGAGCCAGCGGCCACCAGCTCTGTGCAAATCTCCCACTGCACCACGGTGTGGGCACCTGCCTCTGGCTGCCAGCACCCCCAGCCAGCACTAAATTGTCACTGCCATGACCAGCTCCGAGCAAGCTGTGCCCGCATGCTGCAATTGGGAGCAGGAGAAGGGCAGTGAAGGCAGACCTGTGGGCTCTTTTCGCCATACTTGCAGCCCGTGCTTCTCAGCTCTGCATGAGGGCAGCCAAAATTGCCAGTGGGAAGCCACTCGACTCTCCAGCATGGGCACATCTAGATTGTGCTCTCTGGCTGGGATGAAGTGGGCAGCCACCCTCGGGGACCCCTACCCAGGGAGGATGCTGGCCCCACGGCACGGCCCCATGGCCCCCCACCCTCCTGGGCTGCCGCAGCCCTGAGCGGCACAGCTCTCCCACATCACATCACGCACATCAGCCTCCCCTCTGCGCCGCTGCCTGGAAGTGATGGTAACCATGGCAACGAGAAGGAGGCAGCCAAGGTGAAATGCAGCCCAGGGCCCCCGGAGAGAGGCCGTGCTGGAGGCTGATGAGCAGCCTGCCATTTCCCTGCCTGCCGAAGTGTGTTATCCGGAGCTGCAGCTATTCCATGCACTCCCTGCCTGCCCCATCGCACGCAGGTGCAGGGCCAAGGATGCATGGAGTGGGGGGCACACGTGATGCCAGCTCTCCTGTGCCCACTACAGGGGGGAAAAGACGTGAGCGCTGGCACTAGGACAGCTGCATGTCCACCCCGAAGCGGCACCACCCCGGAGCGGCACGGCTGCCCAGCGCTCTGGCAGCTCTTGCTGTGGCCAATGTAAGAGCGAACAAAGCCATCAGTGCCACCGGCACAGGGAGAGAGCCGCGCTGGTGGTGGCAGCTTCTAGCTTCTAGGAGAAGGCAGAGGGAAAAGGAAGTCTCTGCCTCAACATCCCTTCTGTGTGCTGTGTGCTGCTGGGGGTCACCCCCCCTCGCCCCTCTCCTCCAGAGGAAATCACAGGGCCAAGGGGACAGGTATTTGTGCGTAAACCATCTTCAAGCCTCTGATGCCCCGTGAGTGATGCCCGTGGCAGTGTGGGAGCACTGTGATTATGGATGATTTGGGAATTCACCAGCTTCTCTCCCAGGGAACTGATGCTGCAGTCAGGGTCAGTTCAAGGGAGCTGACAAAAAGGCACAGGGGACCTTCCACTGCTCCAGTGTAGGGCAAAGCCATCCTTCCTCCGCAGCACTGGGCTCACACTACCCTGGAGATCTTTTTACAATTTTAGGAATTTGTGACAAGGATCCTGCTTCTGCTGGTTACCTTAAAATACTCACAGTGCAGATGCCTAGACCTGAGCTAGTCCTCTGGACTCCCTGCACAGCCAACAGAGAGAACCACCTGGATTTGCTTCCATGCTGCATCTCATCCCATGTTAGTGAAGACTTCTGGAAAAGGTTGAGTAAACCATGTCTCCTGAGCGCCACCTTGCTCTGCTCGTTACCTATGCAGATGTAAGGGCAACTCAGACGCAAGGGTCCCCAGCAAGGAGGGAAACTCCTACTCTAGGTGAGTCGTTTCAACCAGTCACCCAAGAGCCATGGCCAAGCCAGCTGAAGCCGGGCTCCTCTCCTCCGCGCCCAGCCAGCACGGAGCCCCAGGCCACCCCACCTGGCCAGTGCTGCTTCCCAGCCCTGAGCAACCAGCTGGCACCACGGCCCTGACCAGGCGCAGAACTTGCCCCCAGAGGCAGACACCACGTCTGCCAGCCCTGCTGCCAGCCACCGCTTCCCACCCCCGGCACCCCAGCGTCAGGCAGGAGAGGACAAGACCATCCCAGCCCAGGTGAGCCTCTGGCCACCCAGCTGAGCAGCCTGTCTCCAGCAGCCAATGACTGGGAATGCCTGTGAAAGGGTCTACGAACATGGCAGCCACACAGTGACACTTCCCCATGTATTTCCCTCCAGCGATTTGTGTTAGCCTTCCTGAGCAAGATTTGCTATCTTGGTATTTAGCAGCTGAGCAAATTTTTCTTCCATGAGTTTGTCTGGTCCCTTCTCAAAGCTCAGTGAACTGCAGCATGCACAGCCCCCTCCATGGGACCAGCACCTCCTTCTGCTCTTCTCAAAACCCTCCCCGAACGACACCACAGTGCGGGGCACAACCTGCGCGGGGAAGATACGGGCAGCTCACACAGGACAATCTCATCCTTCCTGATCCGAAAGCTGAGCCATGTCCTGATGAGAAAACACAATGTATTAAAAAACCTATTTCTAATGAAGCTCTTGGAAAACTCTTCTAGTGAAATTCCTCTTCAGGGATTCAGCACCAGGTGCCAAGACCAGGAAGGGATGGGCTGGACACCATGCCATCCCACCTGGACACCTGCGATCCCACCAGCTCCATCACTGCAGCAACACCCTGCTGCTTTCAGAGAGGTGGCTCAGTGTCTGATGCTCCGTAACTCCCGCCACGGGCACACACCGCATGGAGGTCCCTCTCCCCGCTCCGACACTACCCGCCGGGCTGCAGGAGTGTGGCCAAGTGCTGCATGCCAGCTCTTGCCCTGCAGCACGCGCCACCGAGCTCTCTGACCCGCTTAGCTGGGGGATAATCCTGCGACTCAGGAGCTTCCCACCACCCCCAAGAATGGAGGTGTGCACAGAGCCAAGCCTCCGAGGTTTCTTCTCAGGAACGCCGTATCTTAACAGAGGAGTGCCGTCCAGACTCCAGCAACGCCCAGGACACCCCCTCTTCGGGGTGCTAAGGGCTCCCACCCGCCTGGCAGGTAAGGAGATCAAATGCTTCGCACCTACAAATCTCTGCTGCATCACCTCTAATAACACCTCAGAGGCAGGAAAGCCACCCCCTGCTGCTCGCAAGCAGGGAAATGGAAGCTGCCCGGCACAAGCGACTTACCCTGAGGGTGATCCTTGCCCATGAGGTCCCACCTGCCCTTCTCCACCTGCACACGGGTGGCAGCCGGCTACTCCCGGGGTGGGAGCTGCAGCATGAGGGATGCCTGGCAAGGTGATGCTCCCCTGGGAAGATGACCCACAGGCTACGTAACCCCCAGCAGCAGAAGCCAAGCTCGTGAGCCACTGAGCCTTCTGCTGACGGTTGAGGCACACCTGCATGATCACCTCCGCAGCAATGTCAATGAAGCCAGCTGGGAAGGGGCGAGGAGGAGACACAGGGTCCATAACACCCGGGGGAACCCGTGGGAAAGCGGGGAGCCCTGAGACTAACCCCCTCACAGAGTGATGCCCTACAAAGCTCTAGAGAGGACCGTGTTGGCAGCCCAGCGCCGAGGATGCTCCGAGCCTGCAGCCAAGGGCCGCGGGGAACCAGGCCCCTGCAGAAAAAAAGGCGAGAGACTGTAGAGGAAGAAAGCGGCTGAAAAGCAGCAGGGATCCCCCAGACTGTCGAGAAAAGAGACAGAAAGGTCAGGAGACTCCCTGGGGGCTCGGGGAAGAGCTGGATCCGCTGCGGCTGAGCAACAAAGCCGGAGGGGCGGGACAGCCAGCACCAGGGGAAGCGGGAGGAGGGATACGGGATGGAGGACACAAGGAACAAAGGGGAAGAGGGAGCCCAACGGGGCTGGGAAGTGGCAGCTCTGTGAGCTACCCCGCTCCTGAAGCTATCCCGAATCTCAGCACTGAGCACAGTCCTGCTCCTCCTTGGAGCAGCTGACACCACACACTGCCTGGCAGGGTCGCCCTGTGACAATGCCACCGCTGTCCCCGCGCCCCGGGAGCAGGGGCTGCGCCAGGCTCGCACACACTGGGCAGCCTTTCAGGCCGGCTGCCTGCCCCATCCTGGCCACTGCCCGCTCTGCCACGGCTGATCACGCCTCCAAGAAGAAGGATGGAGAGCAAGTGCTGGTGATGCTGTAAGGGAGCCACTAGTGTGGCAGGACTGAACTGAACGGGGCCAGAAACGGCACGGCAGGGTCAGCACGGGAGCAGACAGGAAACTCCACTGTCAGCCACGCTTCTCACTAAAACTCACTTTGAAAGCTCAACAGAAAGCTTGGGCTTTTAACGCAACTGAAGAACAGCGCTGCAGGGTCAGGGTCCTGCACACAGGTGGGGAATCACAGCCAAGGGACTTCTGAGACTCAAGGGAAGTGGAAAAGAGGAAGGCAGCGAGTCCAACGTTTCAGAATTGCAAGTCACCTTCTCTCACCTTCTCATTTTCTGTACCAATCCTGCTACAAGGGTTTGGGCTGGCCCACAGCCTTTGTCGGGTACAAGGAAAAGCTGCTTGTGGTCATCTTCTGAATACTAGCAAATGAGGCAACCCCTCCCCGCACCCAGCAACGCATCAAAGTCCTGACGCGTCCCTTTGCGCACCGGGACTTGCAGTCTCCAGATGCAACCCCCTTGTCATTGCGGAGGGCAGCCCCAGGCTGCGCTCAAGCTGGGGACCGCTGGCTGCCCCTGCCCTGAAGCCAATGGGAGGAACAGGGCTCACCACTGGACAGGCAGCAGCGGCATCCACACTCTTCTCACAACTGCAGCGGCAGCAGCCTCCGCACCACTGCAGAGGGTCAGAGCCTGCACAATGCGCAGCGATGCACAGGGATGCACAGCAGCAGCAGCTCAGCCCAGTCTTCAAGGAAACCCTCCTCTTCGGGGGAAGGTTGCTAAGCAGCCAGGAGGGGATGTGGCCACAGGAACCGGCGGAGATGCACTTTCCCTTCTGCGGGCATCGGTCCCGAGAGCTGACAGCAGCTCGGACAATGCGGCCAAGCAGACGAGCTTGGAGCCCCACAGCGCAGCCCCGGCAGGACCTGCCCCAGTCCCGGCTCCCAGCTCAGCTGCACCAGGGGCAGTCCTGGCCACCA